CCCCCCACGACCCCATGACCCCAGGAACCCACAGCCCCATGGCCCCATGACCCCGGAGCCTCGTGCCTGGTGGGTGCCAGCGGGGCACCTGTGTGATGGCGGCCGCGCTGTGACTGACACGATCAGGCTGTGTTCGTCCTCCCGGGGCGCGTCCCCCTGCTCTCAGGATGACAAGGGGGCGTCAGAGCAGCCTTCTCCCACCTGCCTGCTGTGAAGGGCTTTCACATGCAAGCAGTCACAGGCCACCAGACCGGCAATTTCAGGGTCTTCTGTTCTGAGTCCCCTCACCCCCCTGGACCCCATATTTCCCTGTACCCTTATCATGGTTTCCATGGTGTTCCTGACCGACATCCTGACGCACACGGAGGTGGTCCCGGTGGGAGCTCGGGGGGGCGGCATCCCTGGGGGACCCTCACTCTATCTCTCCGAGGCCGAGCTGAGTCTAGGGCTGCCCCCATCCAGGTATAGCCCGGCGGAACCCCAGGCTGTGGCCGTGTCCGCCCTCCTGGGGCACGGGCTCCCAGAGCTGAAGGCGCGGCTGGAGGACACCGTCCTGAGAGCCACAGGGAGACAGGTCCTCACCCTGCGGGTTCGGCTGGCGGGCGCACAGCTGAGGTGTGTGGGCCTGGCCTGGCGGGGGAGGGGGCCGGGGCCGTGGCCGTGACTGTGCAGGGGGTGCAGGTGCGGCAAAGGCGACGGAACGGGCCCGGCACCAGCACGCAGAGGAGCATGTGGTTTCCGAGGTCGCCCACTGCGAACCTGGGTTCATCAGTCCACGTGCGGGGCCAGCTGGTGGTGGACAGGCCATTGCCAGGCCGTGGGCGGGGGCGACGAGGCTGTGGGCGGCCCGGGGACGGAACTCGGGGGAGTACCTTCCGCACACGCGTCCTTACGCGGCATTGCCCTCACGCGCACCCGCAGCTGGCTGCATCGGGAGGCCGCCGTGCAGGACGTGGACGTGATTCCCGAGGCCGGAGCGGCCGACGTCACCGTCGTCATCAGCAAGTCCGCCTACGGCAAGTTCAGGAAGCTCTTCCCCGAGTGAATGGACGTCGTGTCCGCCGCCATCTCTGGGCCTCCTGCCCGCCCCCTCCATGGCCGCTCCGGGAGGAAGGGCCGCCGGCCGGAACTCAAAGGCCGGCTTGCCGGCGGACTGAGCAGCTCCTGCCCGCGGACCGAGCGCTCCTGCTGACGGATGGCGCGTGCCTCGTGAGAGCAGACGAGCCTCCCGCAGGGTTCCGGCCGCAGGACACGGTCTCTCTGCAGCTTCCACGCAGGAGGACGTCCCGCCCGTGGCGGCCGTGAGGGGCCGGTGGTGGCTTCCCCGTCCGCGGTGTGTCGCAGACTCCGCTGCCAGGCCTCGCTGCTCCCCGCGGAGCGCCCTGGACGTCCTGACAGCCTCCCGGCGGTAGGAAGCCTCTTGGCACGGGTCGTGGGAAAACACGGCGAGTCCTTGAATCATCACGGAACGGGGGTGCTCCGCTCTTGCCGGCAGCCGGCTGGGACGGGGCAAGGCTGGAGGGACCACGCCTTTTCCACAGCCGGTCAGGGACTGGGGCTGTCGTCACCAAAGGTCCTGGGACACAGGACAGGACGCAGGTCGCTCTGCTGAGAGAGATGTCCGCAGACCTTGCAGGAGCCCCGAGCCCGGTGCCGTTCCCCGTTCTCTGGAGGGAACGGTGACGTGAGCGGCCGCCCGGGACGCTGTCTTGCTGGATTTCCCCCTTTGATGTGTGTTCACCCTTACAGCGGTGTTGTGGGAGTGATTCCAGATTTCGGAACTCAGGGATTAAGGAAAAAACACCTGTAGCCTGCCTGGGGGTCTGCAGGGCGGGGCAGGGCTTTCCTACGGACGGGGGAGCGTTCTCCTCACTCAGGCGTGAGATGAGAAGAGGCTTGGGGAAACAGGTCGCCGCAGTGCTAGCGTGGAAGAAGGAGGGGCTGCCGGCAGTGGGGGACAGCAGGGAGCACGGGGAGCTTGGGAGCTGGGTTCCCACCCGGAGGCCCCAGCCCCTGACGTGGGCCCCGTGAGACCCACGTCAGCGTGCTGGCTTGCGGAAACATTAGGAGAATACATGTGTGTGCTCTGAAGTCAGCACGTGTGCTCGTCTGTCCAGCGGCTCCGGGACGCTCGCGCGTGCGGGGTCCTGCGGTATGGACGGGCGGGACCGGATGACAGCGGCCCACGTGCTGGTGGTGTGCTGGGACGCCCTCTTCTGTTCTTCCCACGGGGGCCCCGAGGACTGAGTGTGCGGTTGAGATGAGGTCCCGTGGTGCGGTCGGGACTACACGGTGGACAGGGTGGTGTGAGGGTCCTGCACGGCCATCGTCGGGGCTGGTGACGCAGATTAGGGGAGCACGAGATCCCCCAGCACTGGCCAGGGTGGTGGACGGAGAGGGCACACCAGTGCACGGTCTTGGCCGGCCCCGTGGCTGGGGCGGGCTGCAGGACAGCCCAGGTGTGCTTGGGGCATCAGGACAGCTGCTGCCCTTGGACAGCTGACCCGTCGAGACCCACCCGGCTTTCCGCTTTACTCGGCTCAGCCCCTGGGGGGTTGGGTGCTACGGGGTCTCTGAAGAGACCCTGGGGGGCAGCAAAGCTCCTGCATGGGCCACCCCAGCTCCCAAGACGCAGCCCAGTCCACATGCCCCTAGGAATGTGCCCCGCTCTACCCCGAACCCCCGCAGCCATGCATCCTGCCCGGGTACTATGTCGGGGTCGCACACGTGCCTCCAGGCCCCACCCCTCCGGGCTCTGGCCGCTCCATCCCAATTCCTCCCTATGCAGCAGACGGAAGGAAGGGGTGCACGTGGGGTCAGGCCTCTGTCCCTCACTCTCCTTCTGGCATACCCGCCCCCGCCTGGTGTCCCCACCCCCAGGCCTGGAGACTGCAGAGTCCTGACATCCGCTGTGGATGCTTAGTGAAGGGGGGCGTGATGAGGGGCTGGGGCTCCAGGGGGCATGCAGCAGAGGGTGGGAGCCTTGGAGGCACCTGGGAGGACAGTCAGGGGGCTTCACGGGCCTGGGAGGGAGCATCGAAGGGCTTCCAGGGGCCTGGGAGGGTCGGGGGGCTTCCAGGGTCTGGGAGGGAGGGGTGGGGGGACTTCTGGGGTGTGGGAGGGAGATTCAGGGGGCTCCGAGGGCCTGGGAGGGAGGGGCGGGGGGCTTTCAGGGGCCTGGGAGGGAGGGGCGGGGGCTTCCGGGGCCTGGGAGGGAGGGCCACAGGTTTGGGGGAAGAACAGAGAGACGGTGTGAGGCTCCCGTTGGGGGATCCCCAAACCACGGAGCTCTGTCCGGCCCCGTGGAGTTGGGGGCAGCCTGCAGGGCTCCTGCAGGGTCTTCTGGATTGCCGACACGGCCTGGAAATCGCGGCATCCACTCACCAAACAGAACCAGATCTGGAAAAGGCCTGATTTTATCCTAAAGAGAACACATTCAGACCCGGATTGAAGCCTCATTGTTGAAGACGGTATCCTAAGAAGACAGAATGCCTTGGGCTCCTTCGTCGTCCGAGGAATGTTCCAGAACACGATACTCCAGGAACCCCCAGAGTCCCTGTTTGTAGGGAAGAGAAATAAGACAGGACGACTGGGATTCTCCGTTTGAGAATTTGAAACCGCCAGCTTCCTAAACCTCACGTGCGAAGGACAGACTTCTGTAACCTTTGGGGTCATGATGTTCGAGCCCTGGGTCCCGGGAAACAGCGAAGCCTGTAACACCAGGCCTGACCGCCCGTGGAGGGGAGAAGATGGGTCTCACCCGGACCCCGGGGTTTTACCTCATGGAGGTCAAGCATGTACTCCCCTGTCCCAGGAGAAGGGCGAGTGCCCCATGGGGTCGCAGGGAAACCCCAGGCACCCGTACAAGGCCCTGGGGTTTCCGTGGGGAAGGAAGATGGGAGAGTTCACGGGGCAGGCTGTCCAGCGTGAAAACCGGTGGTGGGCTCTGGGCGACAGGCCCCCGTCCTGGGGCGCCGGGACGGCGGGAAATCAGGCACGCCTCGCCCCTCCGCGGTCCCCAGAGCCAGAGCGTCCTACAAACATGCTGGGCCAGGGCTCGGCGCCATCTTCCCAGCAGCGTCCGCTCACCTCCCGTCCCCGCGTCCCCCTCTGGGGATCAGGCACTGCTGCGGACCCTGTCGTCGTGACGGTGTTCATTGCGTGGCCTGTGGCCCGCGGGGAGGGCTGCCCGACAGCTCTGGCCGTGGCTGGCGTTTTAACCAATGATGTGTGTTTGAATGAAGGCGCGTGGACACCTTCTGTAGGGATCGCGGGGTCGCACGCTTCACAGACGGCCGCGTGAACGGCACGGGCATGGGCGCGGGCAAGCAAACGACTCATCTGACTCGCTTTATTGGGATTTCATTCGAGCGAAGCCCGCCCTGCGTCCAAGGAGCGGGCGAGTCGGTTCGCCTGTGAGCTCCGTGCGCTCCCCCATCCGTGTGATGCGTGAGCGAAGGAGGACGGGGCGCTTCTCTTCCGGGGAAGACATGTGCTCCCACGTCCGCCGTTCGTCTGCGGGAATCCGCTAGCCCGGACAGGGGCCGTCTCACCGCTGTCCACAAGGCCCCCAAACGCAGAGCCTCGGGACAGAGAAATGAGACGATACAGGGAACGTCCTGGTCCCCGTGAGCGCAGTGGAAACAGACAGACCTTGAGAAACCATGGAACGGGGATACGGGAACAGTGACAAATGCCCAGCGTGGCTCTGGGAGACGGGAACAGTGACAGGCGCCGAAACCAGAGACGGGACCAGGAAGCTCAAGTTCGGGGACAGTTGAGGGCAGCCTCCCAGCGGGGCTGACGCACTGGGCAGCGCGAGGGGCCTGGGGGCCACCGGCAGGAGGTCGGAGCAGCACAGACGGGCCGCTCCGGGGCTGGTCGCGAGGATGAGGACGCCACGGCAGCCCCCACCCACCTGCCGGTCACACCCAGGTCCCCGTCCCGCCACGAAGACGGTGCTATGGGAGGCCTCTGGGAAGGGGGAGGGAGTGTGTGCAGCAGCCCTCACCATCGGACGGCCCCTCACGGGCCTTCTGGTACCATCACAGAAGCCGAAGTGAAACCAGCCCCCAGGGCCCACGGTCCTCAGGGAGACACACAGGCCGTGATGCCATCAGAATGAGAAGGAGTTTTCTCCGTTTCCGTGGTTTTCTCACTGGGATTCCGGCGCGCCCAGTCCTACCCAACACACACGGTATGATGAGGCTTCACACGGCTGCTGGAAGCCATGAGGACATCCTCCTGCTGCCCTCGAGGCCACAGGGGAAGGGACGCCCCACGACGGCCATGGCCCCGCCTGGGCTGAACCTCGAGCAGACCCCGGGTTCCGGGCCATCCGTCCTCTCAGTTGCGAGCACACAGCACCGTGGACCGTGAGCGTGTTCCGTGAATCCTCCCAGGAACGCCAAAGACCTGGGAGGCCCGGGGCCATCCCCGGGGACGCCCTGACGTCAGGGGGAGGCAGGGAGCCCGCCCCGGGTCCACGCTGCCCGCCCGCGCTCCACAGGAGCTGCAGAAGGGGTCAGCATCGAAGCAGCTTCTCGTTGAGTCTTATGACGTCGCCCACGAACGTGTCTGCCCCGATGAAGTCGCCCGCGATGATGTTGGTGCACTGAGCGCCCGGCCCCGGGCACTGCTCCCGGACCCACGCACGGAGATACGGCAGGCTGGGGAGTGTCATCTTCCTGAGGGACTCGGTCGGGTGCCCGAGGACGTACGCCAGGTTCTCCGTCAGGTTGATGCCCGCCACGAACAGCCCGTCTGAAACAGGAAGGAGAGAGGGGTACGCGGGGTTGCGGACGCCCGCCTCACGCCCCGCCGGCCCACCCCATTCCCCTCCCACTTGTCATCAGCAGAGTTGGAGAGTTCCAGCGGCAGAAGGACATGCGTGTCAGTGCGGTGCTCCTGTCCCCCAAGAGTGGACGGAAGCACCTCCCAGAGATTTTGACGGCCAACCCCCATGTGGTGGATAGAACCACGTCCCCAGAGACGTCCACGTCTCAACCCCCACGTGGTGGATAGAACCACGTCCCCATAGACGTCCACGTCCCAACCCCCACGTGGTGGATAGAACCACGTCCCCATAGACGTCCACGTCCCAACCCCCAC